GTGATAGAAAGAAAAATCTTGTCCACATAGAGTAAATGCAAGAATGAAAATTTCTTGAGCAATTTGCCTAAGTCAATTCAATAGAATGACTATCTATGAGATTGTCTATCTAGCTCATCTCCTCACTAGGAACTATTTCTTAATTTTTTAAGATTCTAAAAGTCATCTTTATTGATGGGGCCAGGTGTGATCGCAAAACTCCTGGGAATTTGGAAACTAGACCAAAGAAAGTATACTGACTGCTCCCCTTCCTAAGAGTCTGGCCCAGTAATATGTGACCTGGGAAATAGACAACCTAGGAAAATAATTTCAAGCACATGAACAAAGATCAAAAGAAAGCCAGTCTGCAGCAAGGGGAATGAAGAAGTAGCACTGGAAGCAGCAGAGAAGAGAAACCGAGTTCTGGTGCCTAGGTCCAGTTCCTTCCAGAGGCCAATTGCCCCTTTGCTTTTAGATTCCATGATGCACTCCTGTATGTTCATAACTAAATCTCTAGCTAAAGTCAGTTTAACTAGGATCCTGCCACCAAACAGTCTCATAATTCATGTAATTCTATAGCTTTTGTAACACAAAGTAAAGTGAGCTTCTAGCAGCTCTCTCTCTCTCTGTGTGATGAAATCTACCAAAGTAGACATACCCTTTTTCTCCATTAGCAACAATATAATTTCAGAAATCCATTAATATTGTATCACCCAATCTTCTTTGTAATGCTCAAAGACAAACATTGGCAATATAACAATTTGATCTAAAATCTTGGAACAAAGAAAATCTAATTAATTCAAAGAAGTCAAACCAATGACATTGACATAATACCCTTACATGACCTATGAACTTACAAACCATGTAATGATTGATATACACATGAAACATGCTCACATAGAACATGAAAATTATAAAAGTAGGAGGTGCCAATATTTGTCCATGTCTATTTATGGGGAAATTTGTTTTGACTTTCAGTCATGAATTTTGTTTCTTTAAGAATAGAGAATATAGTCACATATATATAGAGAGAGAGAGTAGAGAGAAAATAGCATTCATTCTTTTGATTTCCCAATAGCCAACTAAGTTGTCTAAACTATGAATTGTAACTGGGGTTTCTTAAATGGGTCTACCAATCAGCAGAAGAATATCAATACCAAGCATTCAGAAAAGTGTATTAGTGGCTATGGTATTTCTAAGGTAAATATTCAATTTGATCAGCATTAATAAGCACCTAGTATTTATCAGGATTTGGAGGTGTGAAATGAAAGTAAAATGTAATCTTTATAGTTAAGGAGGCCACTGGGGAGGTGTCCAAAAAGACACAAAAAATAAAACAAGAGACAAAATAAATTTTGCTTTAGTGGTTCCATTGATGTGTGAGCAGTAAGAGGGGTACAAACCTCACAAGTACTATGGGGATTCAAAGAGGAAAAATATCTTATCAAGAGACGGATTGAAAAGACAATATAAGGCACCTGGAGATGGACTTTAAGAGTGTTGGTAGACGACTTCTGGCCGAGATGGAGGCATAGATAGACACGCTGTGCCTCCTCACACAACAAAAATAAGGACAACAATAATTTAGAAATAAAATAACAGCCAGAACTGATAGAAGATTGAACTGTATGGAAGTCCTACAACCAAGGAGTTAAAATAGACACATTTATCCAGACCAGTAGGAAGGGCGGAGTCCAGCAGCTGGGTGGAGAGGGGTCATGGCACAAAAATCGGTGGCACCAGCCCCAGACTCAGGGTGGCAATGGGCAGACCCAGCGAGGCAGCAATTGTGAAGTGAGGCACTGCGAACAAGGCAGCTGGCTGACTGGGCAGTCCCACATTCAAGTGCAGATAAACCAGGTGAAAACAGACCATACAAACCAGGGTCCCAGCACCGGGAAATAGAGCCGTCGGGCACTGATTGAAAACATCTGTGGGGGTTGGAGTGCTGGGAGAGACTCTCAGCCTCACAGGAGAGTGCATTGGAGAGGCCCACGGGGCCCTAGAACGTGCACAAGCCCACCCACATTAGCACCAGAAAGGCCCAGTTTGCTTGGGGGAGGCAGCAGAAGGGACTGAAATCCAACAGAGAGCAGAGCTGGCACCATTGTTCCCTCTCGGACCCCGCCCCCACATACAGTGTCACAACCCAGCAATTGGGTTGCCCCACTTTGGTGAACACTTAAGGCTCTGCCCTTTATACATAACAGGTGCGACAAGACAAAAAAAAAAGGCCCAAATAGAAGAACAGATCAAAGCTCCAGAACAAATACAACTAAGAGATCAAGAGATAGCCAACCTTTCAGGTGCACAGTTCAAAGCACTGGTGATCAGGATGCTCACAGAATTGGTTGAATTTGGTCACAAATTAGATGAAAAAATTAAGGCTACGCTAAGTGAAATAAAGGAAAATCCACAGGGAACCAATAGTGATGGGATAGAAACTGGGACTCAGACCAATGGAGTGGACCAGAAGGAAGAAAGAAACAATCAAACAGAAAAGAATGAAGAAACAAGAATTCAAAAAAAATGAGAGGCTTAGGAACCTCCAGGACATCTTTAAACCTTCCAACATCTGAATTATAGGGGTACCAGAAGGAGAAGAGGAAGAGCAACAAGTGGGAAAGTTATTTGAACAAATAATAAAGGAGAACTTCCCCAATCTGGCAAAGGAAATAGACTTCTAGGAAGTCCAGGAAGCTCAAAGAGTCCCAAAGAAGTTGGACCCAAGAAGAAACACACCAAGGCACATCATCATTACATTAGCCAAGATTAAAATGAAGGAGAGAATCCTAAAGCAGCAAGAGATAAGGAGACAGTTGCCTACAAAGGAGTTTCCATCAGACTGTCAGCTGATTTCTCCAAAGAGAACTTGCAGGCAAGAAGGGGATGGAAAGAAGTATTCCAAGTCATAAAAGGTAAGGACCTATATCCCAGATTGCTCTATCCAGCAAAGCTTTCATTTAGAATGGAAGGGCAGATAAAGTGCTTCTCAGATAAGGTCAAGGTAAAGGAGTTCATCATCACCAAGCCCTTATTTTATGAAATGTTAAAGGGACTTATCTAAGAAAAAGAAGATAAAAAATGTGTATAGTAAAATGACAGCAAACTCACAATTATTAACAACCACACCTAAAACAAAAACATAAACAAACTAAGCAAACAACTAGAACAGGAGCAGAACCACAGAAATGGAGATCACCTGGAGGGTTGGCAACAGGGAAGTGGGAGGAGGAGAGAAGGGGAAAAGGTACAGAGAATAAGTAGCATAGATGGTAGGTAGAAAATAGACAGGGGGAGGAAAGAATAGTATGGGAAATGTAGAAGCTCAAGAACTTATGACACATGGACATGAACTAAAGCGGGGCAATGTGGGTGGGAGAGGGTATGCAGGGTGGAGGGGAATGAACAGGGGGAATGGGACAACTGTAATAGCATAATCAATAAAATATATTTAAAAAAAGAATGTTGGTATTTAGGAGGCAAAGTTGGCAATAGTAGGTGTTTCAATCAGAGCAAACAGTTTAAATAAAAGCATGAAGACAGGAAGGTATGCAATGCATTTGAGAAAGGACTACCTTAGTCTACGGCCATACTACCCTGAACGTGCCCGATCTCCTCTGATCTCAGAAGCTAAGCTGGGTTGGTCCTGGTTAGTACTTGGATGGGAGGAAGGACTACCTTATGTTGAGACAAAAATATAAATGGGGAAACTTGAGAGGAAAGTCTTGAAATATAGTTGTATTGCAGGTAAATTGTCTTAAATGCCCTAATGAGAGTTTTGTACTTAATTCAGTAGGAATTAGAGTTCTTGATAGTTTTAGACTGATAGGATAAACTATTAAATATACTAATCTAAAATCATTTTGAAATATGAACTTGGCAGAGGGGGATCTGAAAGTAGGAACATCGGTAGGAGAACTAATATGGTAGTGCAAGCAAGAAGTATTAAGAATTACTGCAGTGTATTAATAAAAATGGAAAGAAAGAAAGAAATGAAAGGCACATAGAATACACAGAGCTTATAAACAACCTAGGGAGCAAGGTCAAGGCAGGTTTCAGAACAATAAGTAAAAATGGAGATGCTAGTGTCAGAAAAGAGGAGTCCGAGAAGGGAATCTGGAGCTGTGAAAGAAGATGAGGTTGTTCTGTGAACATGAATGCTGTTCAATACAGGTGTCTAGGAGCAGACAGAAACTCCTGTCTAAAGTTTGAAATAAAGGGAATGAATTCATAAAAATATGATAAGAAAAGCTCAAAAAATTAAATGCTACACAATAATTTTTAATGGTCATTTTTTGAAAAAATGAGGTCACTGACAGCTTTCAAGAAAAAAAATTTGGTCTTGTTTTTAAGATTTTATTTATTTATTTATTTTTAGAGAAGAAGAAAGGAGGGAGGAAGAGAGGGAGAGAAACATGGATGGGTTGCCTCTTGAGTGTCCAAACTGGGGACCTGGCATGTGCCCTGACTGGCAACCAAACATACACCATTTCACTTTAGGGGATGACACCCAACCAACCCAGTGAGCTATACAAGTCAGGGCTCATCTGTATATGCTTAATAAACTTTCATCTATTATCTTATTGTCTTGTAGCTATTCAAGGCCGGATAGGTTCACATGGGGTTCAGGCAGATGGAAGAATGTTGAGGAGCCGTTGGGATTTCTGACATGCCTTTTTGCAGGGGTGGAGCTATCCATGCACACGTGGAGCTATCCAGCCACGTATCGCACTGAATGTCCCAACTCCCCGAAATACCAAATGCACACACAGCCTGGTGCCAACATATTATATAACAAAGCATAATCTGCGCATGCAGGCCCACTCAAGGCTATGGAAGTACTGCTTACCAGCCTGGTGAGGGAGCCTGACTGACTCCATTTCACCTACACTTATATTTTGCAATTAGAGCAGAAAAAAGTAAACAAAAATCTTAGGCAAATAATGGCTGGGATCAAACGGTGTTTGCAGATGAAATATGATAGCACAAATTGCATGGTGAAATATGGGCAGAGATGTGGATCACAGCAACAAAAACGAAAACTGATTGGTGAATAAAAGAGCAGGGATGATATTTATTCAATGGCAGTCCAATCCAGGATAGAGTAAGAGCATCCTGGAGAGAAGTAGAAGAACTTCTTAAATCAGAGAGAAACTTCCAATGCAAGCTTCCCAAAGAAAAATGGGCACCAAGGGCAAAGTAAGTAAATATACTGTTTCTTTGTTCAGTTCTTTTTTTTCATATACGCATTCACTAAAAGAAACTTCCTTCAGAAGTTTCAATCTAAACTACTCACAGAAGGCATCCATTTAAAGTCGATCAAAAGCATCACCCATGCTAGCAATTTAAGAAAATTACTGTGGATTTGCCAGACTGCTATCACAAGGGTGTTAAATTAAATATTATTTGTGATGGCAAAAAAAAAAAAAGATTTGGGTAACTATGCTATAACCATAAAATAGAGTTTGCATTTGTTAAAAGTAATGTTAGAGAAGAATATGGAAAATATTCATATTACATTAATAAGTAGAAAAAAGTAGATCACAAAATATCACATACAATATAACCCCATTTGGAGATACTGAAAGGATTTACCTCCTAAAATTACAGGTGGATTTTATTTCTTTTGTTCTTACTTGTATATTGAAAATTCCCATAATTAATATATGTTTCATTTGTAAATAAAACTAATGATATTTTAAAATATAATTCAAAATTATATAACAATCAAACTATGTATTCATGTTATCAAAAGCAAAAATAGTAGCATTAGAATGGAAAATTGTAGGTTTGTTTCTTTCCACTTTCTTCCCATGTTACTTATATTTAAAACTAAAAATATAATGTTGAGGCTAAATAAAATTTTAACTATAGAATTCTGCTTAGTTTATAAAATTAATTTATAGAATACTACTTAATTCCTTTTTATATATTTTTACCAAAATTCTTTCAAAGAGACCAAAATTTTATGTAGTATTTATACTACTAGTAAATTTACTGATTATTTAAGCCTCACTTCTCAAACACATATGTGCACATGAATTCCCTAGATCTTGTCCAAATGCAGATTTTGTTTTAGGGGGTATGGGACAGGGGTTGTAGCTGTAACAAGTTCCCTGGGGATGTCAATAACTAAGCTCTAAGGAAGGATCCTACTACGTGTAGCAAACATGCAAAAACACATCTATGCTCTAGCAATAAAGACTCAGGTCATTTAGAGCTGATAACAAATGATTTAGTCAACAAATACTTATTAGCTACCTACCCTCTCTGCTACTGAGAGAGAAAAAAATCAAGACATTATATTAGAGTAAACTTCAATGTACCTGTTCTTTTCAAAAGCTAAAAGTGCAATGACTATTATGTAGATCATGACTTATTTTCAAAAAACATCCCTTTTCTTTAAAATAATATAATCATACATAACATCCAGTCACAGACTCCGTAACTCCTTTTCATGAAATTATGGTATCAACATGATTTTTATTTTTTCCCCTACTATTCTTTCTTTGTGTCTCCCTCCTTCCCACTCTCCCTTCTTCTTTCCCCCATTCCCCTTCTCTCCCTCCCTCTCCCTTGCCCAATCTCTCCCTCTCTCTCCCAGGTTATTAAATGCAAAGCAGCTATCGCCTGGGAAGCAGACAAGCCACTCTGCATAGAAGAGGTTGAGGTAGCTCCCCCCAAGGCACATGAAGTTCGAATTCAGGTGAGAGGGGACTTCCCCTGGGCAGGACAGACAAGGCACTAAGTGCACACTTGGCTTCTGTCAGGTCAAGCCTCTGTGGTGTGACTGGGAAGCCCTGGAGTTCTCAGTATGGGGGGGATTATATTTTTGGGTTCAGTTAAACCCAGGCCTTTTCCCCAGGATGGGTAATTTATTAGTTGTTTATATTAGTTATTGATTATGGGCTTTAAATTTAACTAATGTACCTTAACATTAATGATTAACCTTAATAATCAGATTAAGTAACTCATATTGCATTAAAATTAGTTAAGTTTTGTTTTCATTTTCCAGTTGCCAATTATTGAAAAGTGTTGTTAAAGGGAAGATAGAAAATTTGTTTCAAAACAAGGGAAAGGAAAAGCTGAAGTGCCTAGACAGCACTGGGTCTTGGGTGCCCAGATGAAGGGACAGGCATGAGTTAGCAGGGAGAAGAACCCGCACTGAGTAGACAGATCATGGACAGCAAGTCGGGGTGATTTCTCCATTCTCCCAGAGTTGGCTGGCAGGCTTTTTTTCCTCCAACCACCACAGTCAGCACTTATACATGAGAATGAGTGGCACAGGCTCATGAGCAAAATCTTGAACAAAACAAAATACACTGATATGGCAGTAACTAATTTAGATAACCCTTTCCTTAATACCTCACTTTTAACTATAAAATTTTTATCACCTCTATTTCATTTCATGTTGTTTCAACAAAACTGAACAGGGCCTAGACACCTATGTTTTCTCCACTCCCTCTGCCTACTAGGCTTTGTTTAAATTTTCCCCATTACCTTTTATTTTTTTCCTCTTCTGGAGACAGTAACTGCCAATTTTATCTCTTTTTATGATTTTTCAATGACAGTAAAAGTCAGAAAACAAAGGTATAAGAAAAAGAATACATCCTAATATATTTTTATTTGTTATTTTTTCAAAGAATTATTCTTTTATTGAACTATAAGAATGTTGTTAAGTTTCAAGATAACATTGAAATTATCTTAAAATCATCCACCTAACAACGCCAATGATATAATTGCAGAAACAACTCAAGAATGTGATTGCTTTGCAGATAATCGCCACTGGCGTGTGCCACTCTGATGCCCATATTCTCCACCCTCAATTTTCCAAGGCTCTTTTCCCAGTGATCCTTGGCCACGAGGGGGCAGGAATTGTGGAAAGTGTTGGGCCAGGAGTGACTGAATTCAAACCAGGTATTTTATTTTCTGATTCCAATTAAGTGGAAATGTCAGAATATTTCAGGGATAATTCCTGATATATTCCTGGATTTGCATGCTATAATTGATCTCTGTTTACAAAGGGGACCATCTTCTCCAAAGCAAAATTAAGAAACACAATCTATCACATTCTAACAATGAGACAGAATACTTGAAATCAGAATTGTCTAATAAAATCTGGGGAATAGGGTCACTTTATTTAGATATACCAATGAGAACTGTCCCATGAGGCAAAGCTACAAATTTACATTAAACTGAAGCTGCCATGAAGGCACAAATGACAACTTATAACAACCTCCTCTAAATAAAACAGAAAATGAATGAAATAGGAAGAATTTAAAGAATGAGGAAGCTCATTCTATAGGTAGATTAAGTGAGAAATATTATACATATGTCAATGTTAGCTTAAATGTTTTTGGATGTTTGAAAGATAAAAATAATATGTAAATGAAACGTGCCAACGACTGAAATTATTTATTTCAGATTTCATAGCAGGCCCACCAAATACTGGAATACGGGCCATGTAACTCTCACTTGGCAGACAGGGCAGCCATTTCACTCTTCCTTCCATTAAGGTGAATGCTCCAAACCTTGAGGTATATTACAGTAGTACCTTTCAATTCTAAGCAAGATCATAAAAACAAATTGCTTCTGGAAGTTTTACATCCATGAGGGAGTCTGGCCAATGTAGTCCCAGACCTGCCACTTACTCACTGTGTGACCTTAGCCAATTAAGTCACTTTTCTGTGAGTCAGGTTGTTGTTTTCTAACGTAGAACAATAATAGCATTTGTCTCAAAGAATTAGATGAGACCATCCAAGTAAGCAGTGAGACTGGTACCTGGCACACACTGAATGTTGAACAAATGTTCATCATTCTTGGACCTTGGTCATCAGAGGGTAAAAGCCATTTTTAAATCAAAATTGAATAAAAAATAGGAAACATGGAATTTGAGATTAAAACAAATGGTGAAACACAATGATGGTATAAAGTTTACTCTCTGTATCTAGCCTATCACTGTCCACCTCTTCTACTATTTTGTATAGGGATGTTCTATTCCATACCAGTGTTTAGAAGTATAATAAGCAACAGTCAGGATGTAGAGAGCTGCAGTGGCAGCAGAGTCTCAGAGAGGACTTTTCACCTGATGGTATCAATACCAGTCTGTTGCTTGATTGCCCAGCGAGGGGGGGGGGGAGGGGGGAGGCAAAGTAAATATAATATTTGGGGAAATCAGCAGTCTTACAGAGTAACAAAATGTTACAGCCACCTATACTTTCTGCTGAACATAAAATGTACCCATAAAGAATGGTGTCTTCCACTGATTTGTGTGGTAGAAGTTATTTAACAATAATATTTATAAGTAACATTTATAGGTACCATGCAGCGTATGGCCTTTCTTTCTAGGTGACAAAGTAATTGCACTCTACACACCTCAATGTAAAAAATGCAAGTTCTGTCTGAGTCCAGTCACAAATGTCTGTGTAAAACTCAGGTAAGCTCTATACACTGTTAGTAAGAGTATAACTTGGTACAAATATTTTGGGCAGTACATTTGCAAAACCTAAATTGAAGTTAAAGAGGTGCGTCCTTTCTACCTACCAATTCTACTCAGGTGTGTACAAGAAACTATTGCAAAATCACCCAAAGAGACATGTGCTAAAGCATTCATTGCAAAATTGTTTATGATAGCAAACAATTGAAAATAGCATAAGTATCCATCAATAAGAGAATGGATTAACACAAAGATTTTCAAACATTTTCATCTCATGGCACACATAAACCAATTACTAAAATTCTGTAGTACACCAAAAATATATGTTTTGCCAATCTGACAAAAAATAGGTGTAATTTTGACTCATTCACATCAGACAGCTGTTGTTGTGTTGGCTGTTGTCATTTTTTTTATTTGACCATCTAAGAGAAAAGAGCTCAGTGACCCTGACTATTTACATGTTTAAAAATTCTTGCAGCACACTGGTTGGAGATCACTGGGTTAACAAATTGCTATGTAACAATACAATGGAATATTATATAACTATCAAAATGGCTCAACTTGATCTACAGGTATCAACAGAGAACAAAGCAGTCCCCCTTATTCATGTTTTTGCTTTCCAAGGTTTCAGTTACCCATGGTAAACTGTGGTCTGACAATATTAAATGGAAAATTCCAGAAAGAAACAATTTGTTATTTTACAAAATCTCACACCATCCTGCCCTTCCACTCCCAAAGTGAATCATCTCTTTGTCCCCTGCCTGTTCGTCACTTAGTAGCCATCTTGGGTATTAGATCCATTATCACAGAATCTCAGTGCTTGTGTTCGAGTAACCCTTATATTACTTCACAATGGCCCCAAAGGATAACAGTAGTGATCATCACAATTCAGATATGCCAAAGAGAATCTATGAGGTGCTTTCTTCAAGTGAAAAGGTATGTATGTGTAGAGGGGGAAAAACACAGCATACCCAGTCTGTCTGGAAAAAGTCCAGCCATTGTTAATATAACAAGAATGGTTTGTGCTCCATCGATGTAACCTGGCAGCCAAGGAGAGTGAACAGGAATGCACATGCAGGAACAATGATGACTTCACTGTACTAGTCAGTGGGGGCAATAGACTGTTGAGTGAGCATGTGTACTGTGTGGCCATCACATTCAAAATGACTGAGTAGGGCAACAAATCTGCATCAGATTTGGTGTTAAGGTTGAACATTCTTCCACAGAAACAGATGATTAGATGATTCAGAAGGCTGCAACTATGGGCAACTGGTGATTGGCACCTTCATCATAACAATGTGCCCACTCATCCAATACATCTCATGCAGCCTTTTTTGGTGAAACATCAAATCACCCAGGTGACTCAGCTTCACTACAGCCCAGATTTAGCACCCTGCAGCTTCTGGAATTCCCCAAAACTAAAATCACCTTTGATTTTGAAAGGGAAGACATTTCAGACCCTCGATGAGATTCAGGAAAATATGATGGGACAGCTGATGGCAATTGGGAGAACTGTGTGAGGTCCCAAGTTGCCTACTTTTAAGGGAACTAAGGTGTCATTGTCCTATGTGCAATGTTTCTTGTATCTTGTATCTCCTTAAGAAATGTCTCTATTTTTCATATTACATAGCTGGATACCTTCTGGATAGATCTTGTATATAGGGTTTGGTACCATACAAAGTTTCAGGTATCCACTGGAAGTCTTGGACATGTCCCCCAGTGATAAGGGGGACCACTGTGACCTCACACAAACATTAGGTGAAAGATATTACATACAAAAACAATATCATAAACTATTTATGGTTATGAGTGTGTACATAAAGGTATAAACACATACTGGAATGATAAATGTGAAATTCAGAATAGCAGCTACTTCTACAGAAAATGAGAAAGGAATGCAATGAGGTACAGTAATTTATTCAGAGGCCACACAGATGTAAGTCTTAGAGCTAAATTTTGAATCTAGGCAATTAGCTCCAGAGTACAAAATCTTAATCACTTTATTCTTTACTGAGACTACAGAAAAATCTACTTCTCCTTAACTAATTGAAATTAGTTACTCTTACATCTATTATTGTGCCTCAGTTTCCTCATCTATGAAATGGGGATAATACCAATGCCTATTTAACAGGGTTGTTACAGATATTCAAAGAATTAACACATCCTTTTGCAAACTTTAATGTAATAATAGATTTATCCCTTAACTATCAGTTCTTTCTGACATCACAAAAAGATAAAGTATTATGTATCTCCATATGAAAATACATACCACCACCTTTAAAGTACCCCTACAAAAATATAAAACCAAAATCAGATCAAGTATTTAGATAAAAAATATAGTTTAGAGGAAATTTAGAGATGGAGAAACAAGTTAAACCAGATGACAGCAATGCAATCAGAAAAAATCTAGAATAAGGAAAACTCTACAAGACCAATAACTGTTTCTTCAAAAAATAAACTGCAAGGAAAAAAACAAGAGGGAAGGTAAGAATCTGTAAATTAAAAGAGATTTAAGAGGCATACCAACCAAATGTAATGTGTGGACTTATGAGAATCTTTATCTTTTAGAGATACATACTGAAATACTTACAATGAAAGTGATGTCTGGGTTTTCCTTCAAAACAGTCCAAAATGGGGAGAGGGTAGGGGGTACAGTAGGGGGGTAACAGATGAAACTACATCAGCCATGAGCTGCTAACAGCTGAAGCTGGGAGAGGCTTACATAGAGACCCATTATGCTGTTTTTTCTACTTTTATATTTGTTTGTATTTTCCATAATAAAGAATGTTTAAAGAATACATGCAAAACTCTTAAAAGAACTTCTAGCACATAAAAATTATTCAATAAAAAGTTTATTATTATCATCATTATTATCTTTAGACTACTCCTGACTATTCAATCTATTATATTATATTTTATATTATTTATATTATATATTTACTATATATTATAGTATGTCATAAGTAACAAATATATTGAACTTACACTATTTATATGACATATAAATACAAAATGTATTATATTATATATATTTAAGCAAAAATCACTTTCTCCATATCATAAAATTGTCATAATTAATACATAATACCTAATTTTTGTTTTCAGGAAAGTAATCAGTGGTCCTTTTACTTTCTTTTTTTAAATCTTCTTAAATAATTCTCTAGTCAATTCAAAAATCCTATTGTTGGTCAAGAACTAATGGAGGACAGAACCAGCAGGTTTACCTGCAAAGGAAAACCAGTTTACCATTTCATGGGGACCAGCACCTTCTCTCAGTACACTGTAATATCAGAGACCAATCTTGCCAAAATAGATGATGATGCAAATTTACAGAGAGTCTGTCTGCTTGGATGTGGGTTTTCAACTGGCTATGGAGCTGCAATCAATGTTGCCAAGGTAAAGTGGTTAACCACCAGGTTATATAAAACAGAAGTTATTAAGAGGCTGTGTGATAAAGCTGCTAGAATTATCTTCAAACCCTGACTCCATCATTTATCACCTCTGTGATTTTAGGCAAGTTATTTAATTTCTCTACTCCAACCTCTCTCATAATATCTGCTACAAATTACTGTGGGAATATTAAATCATATTACACATGTAAGACATCTGGCCCAGTGGCCTGAATATAGTTAGCACCTAGGTCATGTTCATTTCTTTTCCTATACTAGTATGTTATATTGTAGTCTGTCCCAAATTTAAACACAGCTTAAATGTGTCCCCTCTATCTGAATCCTTATCCTGGGACAGCTGACCTAGTCAAGAGGCAATAGAAACTACAGAGACCCACCTATCCCTGTATGGCCACTCTTACTTTCTCCCTGATGCCATGGATTTCTCTCCCTGAACTGTAGTAGTTCACCTCTGCTTGTCATCCTATCATTTTGTGGCTCCAGCAGAGGGTCTCAGTTGGCAGAATTGATGGTGGCAAGATGTGTCCCTGGAATCCTGTGTTAGGATAAGCTTTCTAAAGCTGTTAACTAAGAGACTAGAGAGATGCCGGTATCCCTCAAACAATCTCCTTGACATCAGTCTTCATTCCTTGACTCCAAATTGCAAAATGCAACTGAGATTGGTCTTTCTAAACAACAGATCTAAAGATTTCATTCCCCTTTCATCACTCCTCTCTTCTTTCACTATGCTACCGTGATTCTCCCTACTCCTCCCCATCCAGGCTCACTGTTCTGGGCCTGGCCTCCAGTCACTCTCATCTCTGGGCTTTCTTTGCATACCTTGCTCCCATCAACACTGCCTGGAAAGCTCCCCCACCTCTGCTGGCTGGCTCTATTTATTTGTCATCTCCTGTTGGAAAACTATTCCAGCCTTTTGGGCATGCATCAGGTGCCCCTCCCAGTTTTCCTCAAAGTATCTGTGTTTATTCCTGTCTACTTTATCACATAATGGAGAAATTTCTCATTATTTCTTCTTCCTATAAATCTATTTGCTCCTTGAAGGCAAGAACTATCTCTTGTTCGTTGTGATATTTCCGGAGCATAGCCCTGTGCTTGGCCCATAGTAGGGGTAAGCACCCCTGCTGATGAAAAATTATCGATTTTTCAATGAATAAGTGAAAAAGCTAGTTTTATATGCAACCCTTAAAACATCGTGGTGAGGTGTGGTCCTCAGTTTCGCAACAAAAAATCCTTTTTTATCTGGTTGCATAGAGTTGTTCAGTGTCAAGGAAACAAAGGCAGCCTAATGAAAATAAGAGGCTGATCTAGCAGCCAGAATATGGCTTTTCATTGAGAATTATATTGGCCAAACATATAGGGATGCTACTCTTGGCCATCAGCACACTATCTCCCTTTAAAAAAATCATTTGTTCATTCATTTATTCACTCATTAATAAAAATTAAAAGTTGTATGGGAAGCCAAACTACAATCTGAAGGCTCCTGGAGGAAGGGTGTTCTTTGGATGGAGTTAACAGCAATGGGACCTTGGCAGTCACAGCACTTCCTCCTGCAGATAGCGTTGGAGTCTCAGGAAGAATTATTGCTCTTTGGACTACACACATCTCCTTTTCTGGACTCTATGCAGACTCTCTCCTTCTACTACTATAGTCTCACTTCAGAAATGTTAACACTAGAGATTCAGCTATAACGTTCTTTTAAATCTAGTCAAAGTTGATCTAAATTCACAGGACATGTTCTTCCCACTGTTGAGGAACAGCTAAACCACCTCAGGAAATGTTCAAAGAAGAAAAGTTAATCTGATGGGACCCAGTAAAGAGAAGTGAAGTATCCCCAATTCTAGACAAAAGGCAAGGTCCTCAATAAAACTAAATTTCCTTCTGGGAAGAAAATGATGCAACAACTCTATAATTATTGCACATCTCCCATGACATCACCAGAACCCCTAATCCTTTTCAATTTGCTTGTAATCTTTACAGCCAAATTAATCACATTTCATGGAGATCTTTGAAAGTATGAAAATGTCCTGTAACAATGTTGTCTGCAGATAGAAAATCAAATGGGTGGGGGAGGATTTTGTACTGCAATCAAAACACCTTTACAAACAAGGGTACAGTTATATAACACAATCAGTGCAGTGTATTCAACTGACACACTGTTATGAGCTGTCCTGAGAATCATACTACTGCATACAACATTGCTGCAATGGGAAAAATGCATTTCTACATTTGATGAGACTTACAGACAAGCTTTTTAACACAGTCTCTGGAGGAATATATTTCAAAATAAATTAAGCACATGCCACAGTATTGTAGTAAATAGTATAGCAAGTATATAAAACAATATTCTGAATATTCACAAAATGTATTTTTATTTACCCTGAATAGCAAAAGCCAGTATATACATACCCAATATCATGCATAAATTAAGAGATGCATATTCTCTCTATTCCTTAGTAATTTTTTTCCAATTTAGAATGTATTGATATTTCTCTGGGCAGATTTTTTTCCTTCCCTTTTATTTATACTTTAATTTAAACAGTTTCTCATCTTCATTAGAAAACAATAATTAAGTATTTCTCTGCACAGTTGTTAGGGTTTGTTTGTTTTGCCAGTATCTCACTCTACAGATTAACATATTCCAGTTGACACTACTTTCTTATTGAAGAGTCAGGACATGTTTGTGGCCCTGGCCAGGCTGCTCAGTTGGTTGGAGCATCACCCCATACACCAAAAGCCTGTGGGTTTAATCACTGCCAGGGTACATACCTATGTTGTGGGTTTGTCATCTCTCTCTCTCCCCACCCCCACTCCCTTCCTCTCTCTCTGAACTCCATTTTTTTTAAAACATACCTCAAGTGAGGAAAAATTTTTTATAAAGGAAATTTTGTGGGAAAAGTGTTATTTAAGTCAAGCTAAAAATATAGGTTATACTTTAATTAAAGGAAGTAAGGTGAAAAGTGCAGCATGCTGAAAGAGCAGCATGAACTAAGACATGAGAAAAGGAAAGTGTGACAGTTTTGTGGCTATGGTAACTGAGAATTTCATGAAGATGAAAGCAGAAGGTAACAGGGGTCAGATAATAAAATTCCTCCAATGCCATGCAAATAAAAATAGACCTCATTCCATTTAAAAAATTGGTCACTGGGATTATTAAGTTAATTCACATTTAGAGAAACATTACTGGTCATTCAAAACTGTAACATTAACACAACCAAATAAGGCTGATTAGAAATAGAACCATCAAATTACTTGTGATCTACTTAAAAGGGCAAACAATAAATCCTTTTTAATGTGTGAACTTTAGAATTTCGTTCTAGTAACACTGAAGGGGAAAAGAAAACAAGGAAATGATTTCCACCCGGGCTTGTTCCTTATAAACTGATGATCCTGATGGCCCTCAAATGATTCTCTGAATTTAATCAGTGATTCATTCATTTTTGCATTGATAAATTGCCCCAACTGGCTATATCGTTTAGTCTTATGACAGGCAGCCCTTTATATGTTCCTGCTTCTGTGCCCTTAAAAAGAAAACAGTGGGACTAGATGTTTTAAGTTTAAGTTAACATGATTTTCCTGCCTGCAGGTCACCCCAGGTTCTACTTGTGCCGTCTTTGGCCTGGGAGGCGTGGGTCTTTCTGCTGTAATTGGTTGTAAAGTATCAGGAGCTTCCAGAATCATTGCTATTGATATCAACAGTGGAAAGTTTGCAAAGGCCAAAGCCCTTGGAGCCACTGACTGCCTCAATCCTAGAGACCTCCCAAAGCCCACCCAGGAGGTCATCATTGAGATGACCAATGGGGGTGTGGATTTTGCATTTGACTGTGCAGGCGGATCTGAAACCATGGTATGTATATTTTTATAACAGTATATAATTAATAATATCAATAAAATTAATAAACACTGACAGTGTGTATATGCTAATATATTTATTCATCTCATATTTAATATTAGTACATATACATAAATTATGTTTATGTAATAAGCAGTTTATTAATAATGTATTAGATTGTATTTAGTGTATTATAATTGATATTTAATCTGTTAATATATGTTATTACTACTCAATACTAATGTTATTAATATTTCTCTTCATTCTTCCACATGAAACTAAGAGAAAATTTAAAAATCAAAATTTTTGAAGAATTATGCCTGCCAGAAGTGAGCAAGAAAAGTGAGAAAAGAAAAGGCAGGTTTAAAGGAGGAGTAAGAGAATGTTCAGGTCACTGATGACACCCTAACAGCCTAAGGTGCCCCCTCCCATCAAAAAGTAGAGCAGGGAGGCCAACAACCTACCTCAATAAATGGGCTGCAAAACTACATCCAAATTATATATTTGAAATTTTCAATATAATAAATACATGCCTACTACAAAAAGAAAAAGTAAAGCTTTTTTCCCTAAACACTATAATTTTGTATCATTCAGATTTTTTCTCCTCTGAGGATGGGCTCTGACTTGCAGGGCCCTGAAAAGGCCCCAAGTGGCCACACTGGCGGCAGCCCATGAAGCCAGCTGTCTCTGCTCCACTCCAGAAAGCCAGGAGAGCCACACCCACAGGCAACAGATGGAAAAGTGAGCTTGCTGGAGTGCCCAGCCTTTTGACCACCTAATGCATATTTGCTCAAAAACACTAAGTAGAGTTTTGTTTGCTTTTTTTTAAATGAACTGACCACAGAATTCATCAACTAAATTATCTGCCTATGGCTCCTTCTTATTTCTTTGGTGAGAACAGTGAAATGTGTAGTTTTTTTTGCTTTTATTTACACCTTCACTTAGCCTGGCTCCTAAAACTCTCCTCAGGGAAGGTGTAAAAATAAAATTCTATGCTTCAACCGGAGCAGGCTTTGCAGGTTCTTCCCCTTGGTTCTTACCTGACTGGTGCTCTCCCCAGGAGAGAGTGGAGGCCAGAAAGAGCCTCTGAGAGCAGCAGGCTGCCATTCCTGGGTCTTTCTTCCCAGAATGGTTTCATTGCATTAATATAACTGCTTAAAAGACAGTCAGGCAAGTAATAAGCACTCAGTAAATGCTAGTTGTTACTGAAATTCGTGCATTGAGAGATCCTTGACCTGCACTGCTCCCCTGAGTTCCGAGCTTCTGGTCCTCCTTTTTTAATTGGCCTTCGCACCTGCAGCTTGCAAGGCACCACATCCATTCCTCCACTTTCCACAGCTCAAATCTTTTACAAACATTGACATTCAGCCTGTTTATCTAATTTCCCTAATACAGACATGCTCAGCATTTCTCATAGTGCCTGGAGAGATGTTGGTTTTTAGTACTAGTGATTGGACCACACCTTAGATAGTCTCATGAGTTGGGTACCCAGGTACCAATATTTTTTACAAGTTTCTCAAGTTGAGAACCACTGACCTAAAATTTGGCAGCTTCTATTATTAACTAATTTATTATTTTTAAAAGTGCATTTTAAATTATGAAATAGAATTATGCTAGAGAGCCCAAATTTCAAAAGATGTAATTTATCTAATCACCAAAATGATGAACTACATCTCTATCCTTCCATCAAAGTTTCAATAACTAGGAAAAGTTAAATCTCTGGGTTGCAGAGGAGATTCCAACAATGGCTATGAGCTTGTCTTCAGTGACCTCTCATGCTCTAAAGCAGCCTAAAGACCCCAACAGAACAATTAAAAAGTTACAGTAATTGACAATTTTATAAGATTTTGAGAATTAAAAATAATTCTCCTCAAAAGTTATCAGAGGCTACTAAATAAAACCCTTAATTTACATATAATACCCATTTAAGTCATTACTATGGAGGTTAATTCCTTGCTTAGAGCAAAGGTCAGAAATGTAGAAAAAGCAACAAGAAAAACACTGAAAAAGAAAAAAAAAACAAAAATCAATGTAAGCAGCTACCTTAAGGTAACCGGTAGTCTTTTCCCCCTCCATGAATCTATGACATATATGAAAACAAAAATGGTTCTGCTGTATAAAAATTCCAAAAAGTAGAAGTTTCTATTTAGAAATGGTAGGAATTCTCAAAAACAATAAATAAACACATAATTCAGTAAAAATGTCAAAACATATTCTTGAAGTTCTGGGTCATTGTATTGGGTTGGTCAAAAAGTCTGTTTAATATTTTCCATAACAGAAAATGTGTTTTTCATTTTCACCAATAACTTTATTCATTTGGATATGTTGAGTATGTCAGCTAGCTACCACTTGATAGAACATTGATTGCTCTCAATTAATGTCTTGATTTCATCACTGTCAACTTCAACTGGTCTACCCAACCGTGGAGCATTGTCCAGGGAGAAATCTCTAGCACAAAACTTCACAAACCACTTTTGACACATATGATCAGTCACAGCACCTTGTTCAACAACTGTACAAATCTTTTATTTTTTGTTTTCAAAATAAAAGAAAAAGGCTTCTAAGTGGAATGGTCATCCATGAGTTTTTATCTTTCACACACCTATTTACATTTTCAATCTTTGGAAGTTTTATCTTCACCCCAAACTTACAGTATGCTAAGATCAAAATGTTTTCTCTTTCTCTCATGCAAAGATCAACACAACTCTCCTGAACCACTTTTTTCTATGTGGTGAGTCCCCAGTCAAGGAAGTTCAAATGTGTGGCTTCACAATTTCAACCTGAAGTTGTCTTGGTTGCTGTGGCAGGAGAAGGGACACCTGGCAGATTGCACACTGGCTTTTCTGTCTCGTCTAGGAAATGACACACATCACTTCTACCCAAAGCTCATTGGCCAGAACTAGTAACTTAACTCCACCCACCTGCAAGAAAGAGAACTTAAAAAAAAAAGTAGACAAGCAGATAAAATGTTTCATGAGCAGCAGCCAGTGTGATTTTAACTATTTTACCTTCTATTTTTAAATGGCATTTCTTTTCATTTATCCCACACTGATATCTACTAAGTTTACAGTATATTCCTTATCTAGTGAATAATCACCCTCTTCATGATTTTAAAGATTTTGATTTTATGCCCCTGAAATTGCAAATATTTTAGTATATACCCATGGTTAATTGTCAATAAACAGGGTGAAATAATATATTCTGTTTCTTTCTAATATCGTTTTGATGAAACTCAACATTTTATTGAATGTTCTATCTGAAACAAAACTTCAAGTCCCAATCTACTACACGATGACTCCATTAGCTAGACTCCTATTATTTCATATGCAGACTTGTACAAATTTTCCCTAAAACACAGCACAGATGTACAATGAAGACAAGTTCTACTTTTCTACTTACTCACCTCACTTTTTTGTTTGACCTTCCAGAAAGCAGCCCTGGACTGCACAACAGTAGGTTGGGGATTGTGTACTCTCATTGGAGTGGCTGTTGGTGACAAAGGACTGACTATTTCTCCAGTAGAGCTAATAATGGGCCGTACTATCAATGGAACAATATTTGGTGGTCAGTTTTATTTTCTTTAAATTTTCTCCATAGTAGTACTACTCACATTCTTATAGTGAAGATTACTGAAAAGAAAGGAAAACAACTTGTTTAAATATTGAGTGTGTAGAATACATGTAAAGACTACATAAAAAGCTATTCTATTAATTATTTGAAAGTAAACAGAATTTGTATAGAACAATGACTACAATTTGTAAATTGAAGTTCAATTTGCATTAAAATGAACCAACACAGAGGAACAAAAGGCAAACTTGAACCAAACAGAGATAATTTCTTATTTAAAAATAAAAAATAATCTTGAATTTTTCTTATGAAGAAAATTTTTAAATTATTATATACTGTTTTCTATACTTTTTTAAATCAAGTACAGAAAATTAAAGATGGGAGGGGGTTTAATCTATTTGGAGCAAGCCAAATATGACCAAATAGTTTTATTCATTCAACAAACACTGATTAAACTGTCTGTTCATGTCAAACACTATCTCTTCATTTGGACTTTTGGTCAAATTACAGGTTGGAAAGGTAAAGATTCTATGCCAAAGCTGGTTACTGATTACAAGAATAAGAAGTTTGACCTGGACATATTGGTGACACATACCTTGCCTTTTGACAAAATCAATGAGGCATTTGACCTAATGTACCAAGGAAAAAGGTAAATTACCAAACAGATGGTTTTTTAAACCATAACAGTGGCTTAAAAAACCTTACAATAATTCCATTTGATGATAAAAACTAATCCATTTACTTTCTGACATTTTCCACATCATCAGACATATAGAGATGTTTAAAAGATTAGATAGTGCCCCTGGTTAGTGTGGCTCAGGTGGCTGGAGCATCATCCCATACACCAAAAGTTGGGGGGTTTGATTCCTGGTCAGGGCACACACCTAGGTTGTGGGTTAGATCCCCAGTCAGGGCACCTTTGGGAGGCAATTGATCAACATTTCTCTCTCTCTTTCCCTTCCTCTCTGTCTAAAATCAATAAACATATTTTTTAATTTTTTTATTAAAAAGATTAAATAATGGCCATTGCAGTTGGGGGGAAACCTACTTCCTACCTACCTACTCTGTTTCCATAATATACATTGCCATAATATACACTATTCCAACATAGAGTGGTGGTATAAACTGACACATATTTCTTTTTCTTTTACAATCATTAACTTAGTTGGGGCCACACCCTAGAAAGAGAGGTTTCCATGCTATAACATCAGGTCCCTCTAGTACAGTATAGTCCTGGCCCTGAAATCATTACATTCTGTAAGAGTGCACAGTGCTTCGATCAGACTCGAGTGAAAACCATTGAGAGGTGAGCAGTGAGTTGCAGGTGTCAGATACTTACAGGATGTCCCAACTCTCTCATTCTCCTACTTTATCATGGGTCTTTTATAAGATACATCTGATCCATAGTTTAAGCTCTATTGTGTTTCCTTGGCATGGACTCTGAGAACTGATTTACAGAAATGTCCCAGCTGGGGGATCCATAGCAATCGGGGAGTGGGTAAGACTAAGATCAACAATTTTGGTTAAAATGATCAAGCCTTGATCAATGGAAGGAAAGGGCAAAACACCAGGAACAGTGTTGCTCAGGGGAGATGCAGAACAAAAGAGCAAAGAGAAGAGAAGACATTACAAAATGGGAGTGGAGGTTCCTAAAGTTAAATGACGGGTGTTAGACACAGAGAAGCAACATCACAAAGGAAGAATATAGGTCCATGGTATGAGGAGCCAGGCTATTTCACAGGGAAGGAATTTGAGGAAATGTCCCTACTGACATGAACTCCCTAACTTGAAACATGTTAACTACAACATATCAAAAAGAAATTCAATAAAAAGAAAAGAAATAAACATTATGTTTAAAGCTATGCTAAGTAACTTAATGCATAAGCTCCACAAAATCTTGCACAATCTCAAAATCCCTATGTTCCTCAAACCAGTTGAGTTTTGTTTGAGGCCGTGGATTCTGGATCTCATAGCTCCTCCACCACTCCTCATTTCCTCTAGAGTTCTCAGTCATGGAATGTACCCAACAAGGATGCTAAGTGGCAGCCAAATGGAAAATGTTGCATTGCTTTATTAATAACAGGTTAAGTCTCCCATACTTTTAAAATAGGCCTGGTTACCAGTGGTAGAAAGGAGGCCTAAGGGGAACACCTGAATGAGGCCTCCTACTCTCCCTGTGGCCCACTGAGAAGACCACCTGATTGCCCACACAGATGGAAAGGTGGCAGCAGAGAAGGCCGAGGATGGGCCTTCACAGGCATGCTTACCATAGGAGTCAGAAACACACATGAGGACAGGCCCTCCTGCCATACAAACTGCATAGAAGCCAGGAAGCAGAGGAGAGGAGATGGGCCCCAACAACCGACTGCCCTCACCCTGACTCATGGTGAGGAAGGGACACACAGGTTCTCCCTCCACAGACAGGTCAAGCTCAAGTCCCTGAATAAAGAAATCATTTATGCACAGCAACCCACAGCTCCTTCAGAAATGACATAAGGAATTCTCTGTTTGTGAGGCTTATCCCCCATTTTGCTATGATCTGTTGAAGGACTTATTCAGGAGTAGGAATATTTGGGTTCTCAGAAAGCAGCATTCCAGCTCACCAACCACCTCCTCTTTTATGCCCAGTTTGCCCTCAGCTACGGGAGAGCCAACAACAGTGTCTGTTCCAAGAGGGAAAACCTCACTCCAACACTGTACTCTACTTCTCCATAGCACCTCTGGGCAACAGAGTCCTCCACTGGGGGCCAGTCAGGGTCCCCAACTTTCCCCCAGCTTATTGACATCATATATAAAGTATTATCAATGCCAAAAATGGAACGGGATAACAAGATAAAAGAAATTAGGCTTACCAAATTATGTCTACAAAGAAAGACTGAATCAAATCCTGAAATGAAAAAACAAAAATTGTGAGTTTTGGCTAAATTTATCTTAAAAATTATACTGATTTTTTATGTATAATTATTAACAGCATTCGAACAATCCTGACCTTCTGAAGAAGCCGGGACAGTTTGGAAGATGACCTGACTGATTATGAGCCTGTCTGGTTAATTTATAATCTGATATGACGAACCAAGGGTAGCCATGAATTTAAACAAATATTTATAGCCAGCATCTCAACATCAAATAGCTATGAAGATTATAGCATTTGTAGTAAAATATATCAGTGTTTCCTGTGTTAAATAATTATGATGACTGATGTGCTTATGAATAGAATCAGGATGTTTGGAAACTGTTTAAAACTAGTTCTGGAGAAGTGGGAGTGAGAAACAAAGTGATAATAAAAAAATACTAGATTGGTTATACGTTCACAGTTTTTTAGGTTGGGTGACAAATATATGGGGCTTCAGTATACTGTTCTCCTTTTGTATATGTTTACAACTTTTCATAATAAAAATTTTACTAGAAAAACATCTCTTACAGGACAGGCTGACAGTGACCAGAGGGGAGAGGGGAGGGAATTTCAGGGGAAAAAGGGAAGGGTTTGCAGGAACAAATATAAAGGACACAGGGACAAAAACTAGGGAGAGTGGAAATGGGAGGGAGGAGGGGAGGGCTGGGGGGTTGGGCTGGGATGGGAGAAAAAGGCAGGAAACTGTACTTGAACAACAATTAGAATAAAAATAAAAGAAAAACATCTCATACATATGTGATATGTATATCACACATATGATGCTGTTATATAATTTCTGAGTTCCAATAAACTACAAGCTGCTCTTCTTTAATAAGCTGCTAAATAATTTCCTTTTTAACATCTGTTAATTTCCTTTCACTTAGCCCCACTTTGCCTCTGTGAACTGTAATCACAAATAGTATGATATCAGAAGCTATATAAATAAATAATATGAAACTGAAGAATTGTAAAAATAAAAAACACATCTATACTCTCAAATTTCCATCTTTACTAAATAACTGTCCTTTTCCCCTTTGGTAATTATTCAACACATAATGTTTAGAGCTTTACAGAGTATAATGGCCTGTGATTTGCACTAATTAATCTATTTTCTGTAGTTAACTGAACGTGAGAAAAGGAAATGTACTTACAATAAAGTAATGTAAGCAAAATATTTATAGCTATAAGATTAACAGACAATAAGATTTATATGAAAAACAAAAGGAGAGTTTTCAAATTATTACACATAGTTAGTTGCTGTGTGAACAGTTTAAGGATAAGACAAATAACTTGGATAAGATTAACAAAGACTCGTCTTTACCTTAGCATAATTTCTCAAACCTGCCAGTTTTTTAAAAAATGTTTATTGCATACTGACCTCTGAGAGAAGATAAACTTCTCGGAAGCTTTGGCTGAGGAGGGTAGTGATGTGGTAGGCAGTCAGATGGACGTGAGCAGAGGGGGAAGGGTAGGCCAGGTACAGAGGCCACCAGAGTGGAAAGCCCCAGGTGCCTAGCAAGGGGCAAAACTGGGCTGGGATCTCACCCCCCGGATAACTTTTCCTCTCCTAGCATATCACTTGTTATTTGGTTTAGACCCCCTGCCTGACATTTCACATCACTAGTCATATGGCTCAGACCCCCCGCCCCCCACTTCTCCTCCCCTAGCACGCCTCTGGGCACATGGCAGACCCCCTCAGAGGAGGAACAAGGGGGCTGGAGAATAGGCCCAAACAAGCCCTTGCACAACCACTCTCAAGTATTATGCCCTCAGGACAATGAGGTTCTGATGCATATCAAATAACCTTAGGAACAAAGCCTCAGGTCTGTCGAACACAGAGTTTTGATCAAACTAGAGATAATATCTAGGCCTCAGTTTTGTCTCAGCTCCATGCCCAGAAAAGCAGCAAGACCAGGTCGGGCAAAGCCAGGCAGGGCAATGCCATGGCTGACATCAGGACCAGGAGCAATGACTAATGACCCCCTGCCCAGACAATAACCAATCAGTGGAGACCAAGACCCTGAGGGGACACACCTGGAAAGGTGATGAATATGCTATTGGGATCCTCCCCTGAGGACTCCAAATAAAAACCCTTCAGAGGAAGGACCCAGTGTGAATCTATCTCTAGAGCATGCCCATGACTTTCCCCCCTCTTCTTTTCCCAATGCTTTCATTCTCTCTCTCTCTCTTCCCTGCTCTTCCTCCTTCTCCACAGCCTCCCTGCATTCTCGTACTCTTCTCTCTCTCTCCCTCTCTCTCTCTCTCTCTCCCTCTCTCTCTCCCTCTCCCTCTCTCTCTCTCTCTCTCTCCCTCCCTCTCTCTCTCTCTCTCCTCCTCTCCCTCCCTCTCTCTCTCTCTCTCTCCCCCTCATACCTTTCTTCTTCCTTTCTTCCCTCAAGGCATGTACCTTTGCTTTTTCTCCTAAGCCCCAAGGGCCCTTCTTTTGCCTCTGTAACTTGTTTCCTGAGCCCATGCAGCCCAGCTGGCTCCCATCTCCACAGCTCACTTCTACCTCTGTGGCTTTCTGAATGAACTTTTTGCTTGTATTTGAGTATTGGCTCTGAATTCTTTCTTAGCCAAAACCCAAGGTCTAACATCTGGTGCCATTCACCATTAACAAGTAGTAATATCACAAAGTAGAAATTTATATTCCTGCTCATTTAAGATCCCTCATTAGAAATGGAAGCCAGCTAACCCATTTATAAATGTTTCCTTTGTTGGCAGGTGGTGAATGGGACCCATCCCAAAGATGGTTGGCGTTTCTCATGCTATTTCCTACATCTGTTGTATTCTTCCTCCTCACCCCTTCCCCTTCTCACCTTGGCTTCCTCAGTCCACCCTAGATCCACCCTAAGACCCACTTCCATTTCAGATCTTGGCAGCTACAAATCTGCTTTCCTTCCCTGATCTCCTTTGGCCCTGAGTGTTTATGGAACTTTAACACATTCACATCCAGAAAACTAGAACATAATTTGACCCCTCCAAAGGAAAAGAAAAAAGAAAAAAAGTTATTTTACATCTTTACATGTTAGATTTAACATAAGATATTCAGTTCTTTTTCATTTTTAATGATTTCTTTGGTCCGAAATCATTATACATCCTTAAAAATGCTAGGTAATAGAGTGAACAATACTTGACTTTAGAAGGCAACACAATAACAATATATTCTTTCAAGAAGAAAAAACATGCAGGTTTAAGATATATTCACTATCTCTTCAAACATCTTTGCGTATCATTGTTTTCTAAATGCTACTACAGCGCCCTCTGGTGATTTTCATTTAACATTTTCCATCTCCTAAATCCTATTTTCTTGGAGAAAAAATTTCAGGGAGAGTAACAACTCTCATTTACATCATAGCTGACTTTTTAAAACGTACTTTCATGTACATTATCTTGTCTAATTCTCCAAAGTTTTCCTTTGACCTTTGCTTCCTGAGGGTAAGGACATTCTTCATATTCTCTGAGTGCCTTGCAGGTAGATAAGATAGCAGGCCTTCCAAACCAGACAGCCCGTGAGGTAGCCAAGGCCAAATTTATTAACCTCAGTGAATGAATCTTGTGTTACAGGGAAAACAGAAAGTGTGGGGTTTTTTCATAAGCGAGTCAGGAAAATCTTGACTATTCACAGAATCAAAGTATTCTATGATCTTCACGCTAACATTATTATATTAAAGGTGGATGGTAACAATTAGGAAATGTCCCTGTTCTTAGATACTTGCTGAAGAAGTTAAGGATGAATTTGATGAAATTTGAAATTTCCTTTTATATAGCTCATCAAAAGTGCATGTGTGTGTGTGTGTTTAAGAGAAAGAGAAAGTAAATGTGACAAAAAATATTAATTGGTACATTTGGTGAAGGACATAGAAGTGTTCATTGTTCTGATTTTCAAATTTTGAAATTTTGGCACTTTTTAAAATAAAACTTTAGGTCAATAAACAGGAATGGTTTCCAATCCCAAATCTAATAAATAAATCACTTCTTAAAATATGACAAGTAATCAGTCAACCTTAGGTTAAACATATTCACAGGCCAATTTTTTCCTTATGGTTAAAACTCAAGTCTGCATTCGTCGTCTACTCTCTGAATCATCACAGAGTAAGTTCAGTCCCTCTGACAGCTGAGGACAGCAGGCATGCCCCCCTCCCCCAACCACCTCTTCTTTATTCCCAGTTAAATATTTCTAAGTGTACTTAAACTCAATAACCTATATGAAGTCTGAATAATATACCTGTTCCAAATAAGATGCTAGTAAATGTAGGCTATTTTATATTTCTTTAGTCAGTCATCTTCATTGTTGACAAATAAATATTGAGCTGTATAAAATACCTGAAAATTTCCTCTCTGGAATGCTTTAAGCCACAGTGCTCTTATTCTATCACTTTTGCCCAAGGATAGACCATTAGTCTTCTGTGAAGTTTCAAGGTCTTTGAAAATAAGGCACTTAATAATATAAAAGAAAAACTATATCCTCCTTATTGTATTGCCATTAAATAACATTTTTACCTTTTCTCTGCCAATAAAATTTTGTTCTGTAGGCTTGCTTACAGTTTCTATAATGAAATTGTAGAATCTAACCTTAAAAATGGAAGTCTTTATAATTAACTGAAAGAATCTGGGAAAGAGAAAAAAGAGATGTCCCTTCTTGCAACTATAAAAAGGAATAAAATTCCATTTCATAAGCTACTTTTTAAAAATCTGATTTGATAAGATATTATATTAAGAATATTCCCAAGAATATCATTTGTTCTCCTCAGTGATATGGAAACATGTGACTAGTCACAACTGTTACTAGAAGTTCTTCTGTTTATTGTTGAAAAGAAATCCATTCTCTGTTAATGTGCTTTTTTTTAACATGTTAACAGGTCTTTGAGGTTTTTTAAAACATATTAACAGGTTTTTTTAAACATATTAACAGACCTCAAAAAGGTCTCTGAGACTCCAAAGGCTTTAGGAAATGTTGCCTTGCCCTGTGAAAATAACGTCCTAGAGGAATCTGAAGTTCCGTTGCCTTATTGATAAAGTTTTGACCTCATAATAATATGTAAATAACATTTCTGTATTTCTAAGCAGTCTTTTAATTTTTTTGACAAATTAAAAGAGAATTATTAGCACTTTCCTTTTCTCGACATTCACAATGTGAATTATCAACTGTTCCATAATAACAGAATAATTTAAAGCCTTTGCTATATTTATTTTTTTAATCTGAGAATCTAAATCTACATTCCATTTATATTAATAAATCCATGAATGATAGTACAAATGGAAGCATGATAGGTAGGGAAAACAATTCTAGATCCAGAATAAGAATTTATTCTAAGTGCTTTTCTCCTGCTGATTTAAGATTCTCTGTTTATCCTTTGGCGTTTTAATTATAATGTTTTGTTGTGGTCTTCTTTGCATCCATCTTGTT